ATAACTCATATTCGAATACCTGAATCATTTCGAATAGTCGATTAATCGTTCCCATCCCTAGTGCATGGTTGTGTAATTTGACATAAAGCTATATGAAAATGAGAACTTCTAATGCAATTTTAAATAAAATGCATCATTTTGTATCACTTCCATTAAAATAATAGAATATCAAATCAAATCAAGTTTTATTTATATAGCACATTTATAAGCGATTTTTGGTCGAGCCAAAGTGCTGTACATATAATAAAAATAGCCTACAGTAGGCAAGGCAAGTTTATTTATATAGCACCTTTCAACACAAGGCAATTCAAAGTGCTTTACAAAAAACGAAAGACATTAAGAAAATGGCATTTAAAATCAGTCATTAAAAAGAAAAGATAATAAAAGTAGAGACACTTTACAGCAAATACAACAGCACAGATTGTTCAGAATATCAGTATGAGAAAAACGACACCCTCTGTCCTTAGACCCTCTGTCCTTAGACCCTCTGTCCTTAGACCCTCACATCGTACAAGGAAACACTTCCAGAGAAAACCCACAGTTTAAAGGGAACATGGGAGAAACCTCAGGGAGAGCAACAGAGGAGGGATCCCTCTCCCAGGACGGACAGACGTGCAATAGATGCCGTGTGTAAATCCAAGAGATAATACATTTTACAGCATATAGAGCGAATGTTAGGAAATGCATGAGTCTGTAATAAGAAGATGAATCCACGAGGAAGAATAGTATAGGAACGAGACCTAAAACCCCCAAATAAGTTATTTGACCTCTTCCGTTCCCTCTCCTCAAATTAAATGTTGTTTGAATGTGATTTTAGGTAGAGGCCTGAAAAAAGTTCTGTAATACTGTTTGTTTTGTTTTGTTTTTTATTTTATTTCCATTTATTTGGATTATTATCTTTTTTTAACTTATTGTTTGTTATTGAGTTTGCAACTTGTGGATCACTTAATAGAATGATTTGACAAATAATCTAAATGTTATATCATTACTATGTGAATCCAAAAAAAGATAAAAGCTTAAAAATACAAACTCATGTGGTTAACCCAAGCGTAAGAGTTTTTGTTGTTCCACAACATAAAATACGTCAGTAAATACCTCACACATGAATGTCCAAAGCTTTTAAGTGTCATACAAATGGGGGATGCTAACAAGTTAATTAATAAGACTACAAAACATCATCACGCTGCACATTAGCCGGCCTTAGCTTAGCGCAGCCATGTGACCGTGATTCGATTTTTACTTCATGCAATAACCTTAACGCTTCAAAAACCATAAAAGTGGCGTAAGAATCATAAGTGTGTTTGCCACATAGCTTGTTTTATACAATACTCCAAAATCCAATGTCTCTGTTTAGAGAGCCCTTGTGATGTTAACTTCCAGGTTGGCCTATACAAATACGTCAGAACTGCACCACTCTCTGTTTGGAAGTGGGGTTGACTGAATTATTACAGTACATGGTGATCAACCAAGTTCAAGGAGAACCAGCACATCATCTAAGCCAAAGGCTAGGGGCAACAGCAACACTTATTTTAGCCCCCTTAGAAAACCCACATCAGTTTAAGTGTTCACTTTCCACTTGCCCTTTCTGTCAGACAGCCCTTTCTGATGGGGAACTGAAGCCAAGGATCTCTTCAAATCCAGAATGCTGGAGTTGCTGGTCTACCACTGCCTAATACATTTATTTTCGATCATTCAGATTTTTTTATAGGGTTAGTTTATATTTACACAATAACACAAACAAACGTACTGATCAAGGCAGAAGTAGACGAGCAACTCCAATGTTCTGGTAAAGTTACAGTTTGCACAGCTTCAGTTAGCAGTCACAATGGGCTGTCTGACAGCAGTGGTACAAATATTCTAAATATAGTGTCCGCTTAAATTGATCCTCATTTTCTTTGGTGGCTAAAATGTGTTTTGCTGATGTCCTTGTCCACACAGTGTTTCAGCTCATACAACCCTCGGAAATATCCCTTTACCTTGATTTCATTAAAGACAGTTTGAGGCCATGCTCGAGTTGGGAATCCTAGAGAGTACAATGAAATAGCGCTGACAATGAAAACAAGTGAACTAAAATCGAACTAAAGCTGAGATTTTACGATAATGCCATTATCACAGGAAGCTGGCCGCAGCTTGCATGCAGCGACTAAATTACTGCTCAGCAGCCACAACGATGCAGTGAGTACCATGGCAACACTGATGGCATGGGTTACTTTACATGGCTGTCAGAAATGCAGACTTTGAAAGGCAGGTGGTGTTAGAATGCACACAGATGGACTGTAAGCCAGCCTGCACTGTGATGGAGACAGCAGAGGGAGTTTAGGGTGACATGCATAAAAGGATTCATCCGCAAGAGAATGAGTTAGGCTTTTCATACTGACTATTCTGCAGCAGATGCTCTTTGAACAGAGGAAATGCTCAAATATATCTGATCTCTTTTGCAAAGCAAGGTCAATCTTATGAAAGCTCTAAGATATGTCTGCAATGTCTTTCTTTGACTAAGCAAGTGGACTGTTGAGTGTTATGTCAAACTTAACTTGAACTGTCACAGGGTTTCATTTCTACATTTGGATCGGCCTGACATTTTTGGGCACCTTGTTTTCTCTGTGCTAATATTCTTACCGTTACCCGACTGTTGCTGCTTTGGCTTCCTCCCAGTCTGTAGTTGTTGTAGGCCAGATGGCTGTATGGGTTGTACCCTACAAACCCGGAACTGTTGGAAATTTGCTGATGGAAATAGATGAGAATATGAATGAGAAATGACAGTAAAGAAGTCAAAACAAATGACAAAAAATGTAAAGAAACCAATAAAAGAAGCAGGAACATTAAGGAAACTTGCATTCATGCTGAGGCTATAAGGAAGTCATCTTTCAAAAGCAGTTATGTACCACAGGTTGTGCATTCAACAAAAAAGCTGAATCTTTGAAAAACATATTTTAAACATCTATTAAAAGCGTGTTCTGGAATGAAGTTTCAAACCGCAACATCATATTAACGCGGGAAACCAAGATACTATATGGTGTTATTTAGAAAGTCTTACTGTTGTAGGGGCAGGAGGGGGGGGCGGGGCATGGGATGGCCTCTCTGTTGTCAAAGGAAAGGTCCAAAGGAAACATCAGCATTAGTCCAGTAAAACAGCAGGTCATTTCCAGTTCTCCAACTTTAGTCTTAGCTATTCTCCAGTGATGTCTTCTAAAAAAAACTGTATTACTAAGTGAAATTAATAACATTTAGACCTTACTCAATTTGCAAATAATTGATAAATAAATTGTTATTATTAAGTGCTATGATATATCACTTAACATGGGAACAGCAGGTCTGATGTATTTGAGGTTTTATTATCATCAGAAAGCTCAGCTAGGCAAAACACTCAGATCCTTACTTGACATCTTTGCAGTGAGGAGGAGGTATCAGTCTATTCCAGTCATGAGCTCTGTAATAAACACATTTCACATTAGTATGATATAATTGTGTGTGTAGTAATGAGATGTATCGTGTGGACAAGGTGTTTCATACAGAACACAAAACAAAGAGATGCAGATGAGGACGCTGGCCAGAAACAACGTTAGCTCAACGTTACTCTGATAGGGCAGACTGTCGGATAACGGTATTACTTGCAAGCCATTCATGGACAACGTTCATTTTCATTTAGGTCGTACGAAATGCCAAATAACTATTTGGATATTGTAATAGAGGAAATAGCGCTGGTAGTTGGCGTTAGTATACTGACTGGTATAGTGCTGCAACGTATCCATCAAGCTTACGTTAGCATGTATCCATGCAGCTAGTTCTGTGAGCTAGCCACTGCTATGTGTTAGCTAAGTTAGCTAGTGAGCAGCCGGCGGCGTTAGTTAACCTGCGCCATTTAAACCGTAATGTATCAGCAGCTATGTGTTGGATACTGTGTCATTAGATTGACTAATCAATTCCCTTAACGTTAGCTGGTCTGGTTACTTAGCTTAGCTACCTACATGAGAGGAAAATGACATATCTTAGCAGGCAATGTCAACTTAAACGAACACATCTGAAGATGTGTACACATTACCATTGATTAAATGGTAACAAGCAAGCATGTTTACTAGAGTAATGGCAGGAAAACTCACCCTAAAGTCCCCACCACGGCTGTGGCTTGGACGGTGAAGGCTAACCCACCTAGCACCCAGATTCAGTCCCCACAAAACACGAATGAAATGGGGTCCACTCGCAGATTCCTGTAGAATCTTCCAGAATCGCACCCCCACCCTCTGCTCATTCCAGCTGTGCCTTGCCGCGATGCTGTTACTCATCGCACTGAGCTGTCACAGCTCGGCTCTCACTTATTCATAGAGCAGCAGAAACGTCTTTCCTCGATAACTGGCATCCCATTCAGAGAAAAGAGAATGTAACATTACAGTGCAGCTAAATAAGATTTCACATTTTACCTTCAAACATAGTAGGCTACAGTTACATGTTTACTCTAAATTGTATAAAAGCAAAAGCACAAAACGGCGGGTGTAAAATGTGCCATTTTCAGTTTACTCCAAGTTAGTTTCTTAAAAGTCACAATCTCAGCCTTTAAATGTATTAAAACATGTTGGAATTATGCATTATGTCACCATAACGTAAGTTGCATTAGGACGGCTTCACGGGCCACTAAGCTTTTGACAAAATCAAGGTTTCCTTATTCACCGCTCCCTTGTTGTGAGAACTGAAATACTTTGCATTCTTGTTCACATTGTTTGAGAGCCGCCCCCAGGTCAATAGTTGTAATAGTGTAGTCCCTAAAGATAACAATCCAAAGCCTGTAGGATTTAGCCTACATCTCTGTCCATTCAACCTGAATAGTACTTCTTTTGGATTTGTTAATTGATTGTGTTCATTGTGACCCCGTTTCTTTCTGGTTACACTGCACACTTGAGAGCTTATTTTATTTCTGCTTGACCTGCAGCCTGTATAATATGCATACAGACACTGTTGTGATCTCATCTGCAGGTGTGGTGCTTCATGCTCTTTTCATTTACCAGGCGATGGCCAGACGGCTGTACGGATGGGACGGGGGGCAGATTCCACACGAGGCCTGTTAAAGCGCTGGGACACCTGTGATGGAGTACATCTGGAGGTAGGGTGGAGGTCACATGCCTCTTGTAAGCTACTGTGCAGGTTTAACACACACACACACTCACGCAGGGCCTCCCATGCGCAGCTGTGGGATTGTGGATGCCCAGAGGCAGAACCGGGGCGTGACATCTATCAGAGGAGAACCTTTGGAGCTGTTTTCGTAGCGCAGCTTCAGACCCAGTTCTTAAGCCTGTAGAGCTCCCCAAAATAGACCCAGGCAGTGGAACTAAGCAGAGCTGAAAGTTTACTCTGGCAGTGGATGGTGGAGGTATTTTTAGAAGCTGCTGCAGGCATATGTATCATTCCAGAGGTAAATGCCTTGAGTATTATCATTAACCTGTCAGTCAAACATATCCTCAGGGAACATACGGGACAATGATTAGTTACAGAAATTCCAAAAAGTCTACAATAAGTACTTCATTTTCTGATGATTTTGGCACAGTATTAAAAGCGGCTTTGGTTACTTTTTTGCATTTTGGAACTCAAAGGTCAACAAAACTAAACTTCAAACACCTAAGAAATCACATGTAACATTTACAAATAGTTAGTAGCCGCGTATGTGACAAATAATAACGATTCTATAATTTCAGCTATTTAATCATGCTATGTTTTATCTGATCCTATTTCATTGTAAAATGAATCGATACAACTTAAAAAGTCCTATCCTAATATCCTTCTTGATAACATATACATAACATAAACCAATATTTTTATCTCAAGTGCTTTTTAAAGAGATTCAAGCGGATATGTTTAGATTGCACATGTTTAAAAGAAACACATTACTTCTCATTCTGTCTTCCTTAATATAACTGTATTCATTCCATTTATGAAACTCTCCATTTTAGATTCTATGTTTTTAAAACCCGGTCTGCTCTGATTGGCTTGAGAGGTAGTTCTCAAGCTGTATGTCAAAAGACTCAGATGGGGGGAGTTGTATATTTAAATTAGCATGTGACATACAAGGGGAGCCAAATCTGACTGCCTTTCTGCATCCAACGTTTTTACAGAAAACAGAAACGTGTGTTGTCCTATTTCACTGTTTATGGCTTTTTGTAACTCTATATCCCTAAATGTACGACCTCATGCACTGACAAAGCACTGAGTTTTTAATGATATGCCCCAGTTGTCCATTTTAAAGTAAAACATAAATAAAAACAGTAACATTTAAAAGTCTAGGCTTATATGGCAATTACCTTGGAGTCTGTAATCACAACAAAACACATGAGAAATATATGTTGTATTCAGTGGTGGAGAGTAACAAGATACATTTCCTTAAGTAATGTACTCAAGTACAATTTTGAAGTACTTACTACCTGAGTATTTTTGTAATGCTACTTTATAATTCCACTCCACTACATTTTTGGAAGCCAATATTGCACTTTTTACTCCACTATGTTTATTTGACAGCTTTTATTTACTAATGACTTTTTTTACTTAGATTATTAGCTAATACAAGATATAAATACATTATTAAATAAGCATTGACCTATATTTATAGGTTATGATATCCAGCAACAAGTGACTGAAGAAAAAAACCTTTCCAACCAATTGATGTCCACACTTCCTTTGACTTGTTAGCCCACACACCAACACATTATATAAGCTCAAATCATAATAACAACAGCGAAAGCATAGATTTGTAGTTTCTAAAATGTTTTAATTGATGTATTACAATGTGTACATTTTCATCAGGTAAACATTTACATTATAATGATCATTTCATTTGTTGATAGCTTCAGTGTTTTAGTATAACGGTCTTGCTCTGGACAAGATACACAAGACCTACGCTGTTTCCAACCACAGTCCATTTGTATGCATGCAAACATTTCTTCATATCTTCTACAAATGATTAGATAATATCAAAGGCAAACAGGAACAGTCTATTGGCGAGAAATGCAATCACTGTTCAGTACATCAAAGTTAGAGATCAAGCAACGGACTATATCTTATATACACAGTTCATGTTGTTAGAAGGCCCTCTCTCTCACAGATTGCACTTACCAGAGAAACATGTTTAGTAACCCTTCATCTGGTAATGAATGATAGGGTTTAGCTGGGACTTCATTGTGTGCATGCAGTTCACTGAATGAGTATTGATGTCTTCAGATACTTTGTCTTTGGGACGACTCTCAGGATATTTGGTTTTTGACAGTTTTAAGCTGCAGCATGACTCTCCACCCATACGTCTTCTGTCTATCCGTCTGTGTTTTGGTGAACTATCTTTGGATACATTTCTTTCTTCAGTGACAAGAAAGTAGTCATCAAGGCAATACACCAGCAAATTGATCATTGACTTCAGCGACACTACATCACATTCAATTACTCACAGTATGTAGAGTTGTTAGTAACTGGCAACCAAAATCTAAAATTCTGACTGATATTAAATACAACATATTTAACTAGGCCAAGACAGAGACAAGAAAATAGGAATTGGAATTGGTTATTGTGCTTTACCTTTTAATATGTAAACCTATTTAAAACTGAATTTGAACTTTTCTGCTTTTTTTTATTTAGCTTGAGTGTCTTTAAGGATGCACTGGAGATACTCACAGAAATGCTGAGATGATGTGGGGGAACTTTTATTAGATGACCTTTGGGAACTCTGGCTCATATGAACTGTCCCCAGTTAGCAGCAGACTCACAATTGATATACGCACTCTGCATTTGAGAAAGAGACCCAATTCAATACGGAAACATTTGCAAAACTGCATTATAAAGATAACAATAAAAGTTTCCATGGCACTTCTTTTATTTCTGTTTGCAGCTGAATGAACCTCCCTTCAGTGTTTTGAGCTCAAATAGTCTTATTAAAAGCTGAACGGATCTAAAATAAGGGTTATATTCTGAGAAAGAAATCTGATATATACGATGGAAATGTGCAAGTAAAAACTTGAATATTCTCTGAGGAGATACATTTAATAAAAAACAAGGAACATCATTGTTTTTCTGCTGGATGGATAGACCTCATCACACCACTGACTCCAACCCTTGAGGGGTATTTACCAGCAATAGAAGACCTAATCAAATTATATTTTGCAATCAAATTCAGCAGTAAAAAAATACACTTTAGCCTAGATTCACATTATCATGGGCATCCAGATTTTAAATATACATTGCAATAAATTGGGCCTATTCAAAAGAAAACAACAAATTGATTTGGATAAGCTGATACTAGCAGACAGATTACAGATTAATGATACCACTTTAATTCTCAGGAAACATCCTAGTTTGTTTATTGTAAATGTGCGCGATCAGGTTATTATTTAGAATATTCCCGTTTCCTGCACACTATCATTAGTTTTTCTCAACCTACATTAGCCTTGATATGCCATCTCAAAAGTAAGAGTCTGAAGACATACAAATAACAAGAAATCCATTTTGTGACAGAAGCTTTAATCTGTTTGTTTTTTAATAGGATTTATCTGTGACATATCTGTAATGACTGCACTGCAAATGTATTTGTTAGCTTGACATTTATGCTCTTCTTATAATAATGACACATTTAGATACATTTGTGCTTGAGTTAATAAAAACCAAAGTCTCCAACGCGCAGGCTGTCCATATCTGGTTGTGATAAACACCAGCATTAGCTTAAGCCTGCTATCCTGCCACAAGTACAACACACTTCTATAAGAATATTACTAGCCTCACTTACAGCATCTTGATGAGAAGCTATGATATTTGCACTGGTAAATAACTCATTTTAATATTAGTCTGATGCCCTACGGGCGATATGAGAGCCAGCGTTGTCATGTTTCCACATAATCATTATACTTTACTGCAACTCAACCTCAGTTCCAGCTTCATGTTGACTTGGAGTGGCTTTGCTGCCAGGAGTTTATTCATTAATGCTTATTATGCTCTGCTTGTATATTAAAGACTCATCACACCTGCAATGTACAACGTTTGCCAATGAAACAACAGGCCAGCTATCTGAAGTGTTAGTGCAGCGCTATCGAGTGGTACAGTGAAGTGAAGTAGTTGTGTAGGCCGACCCAGAACTTAGCATCACAAGAGCTACCTAAACTAAAGGTTATGGGATTTTCCATCAAATGTTTTGAAATATTGCAGAACATAGCCAACACATGTTTATGATACACGTTTTGTTCAGCAGTATAATTTTGACATATTGACAACATGTTTGACTTCTGGCCGGTGAAAATGCATTGGCCAGAAGCAAACCGCTAACGTTAGGCTCTAAAACAAACAAACAAAATCCCGGTCACATGACTGAGTATCACCACTGACTTGTATTATTCTTTGCCTATACTTATAACTTGAAGTAGTCTCATTAAGCCACTGGTTAGACATTTCAGTTTTTAAGACTTATAAAAGCTTCAGACATTCACCATTGCGGTGTTTACTGACGTATTTTATATTGCAGAACAAAACGTGAATATAGCGTAAGCTTGAGGCACCTAAACAAAAACAAAAAGTACATTGACTTTGAAACAACTCATTGCCGGGTTTAAGACTCATTCCTGCACCACTCTATTGTCAGGTAACCTATACATTTCAACAATAACTTTGAATACACACTTTGAAAGCCCTCTTGGCCAGTAGCTAGTGCAGATAGTCACACATGTAGGTGATCCTCACACTTGCTGATGCTAAATGCTCCCTTTCTGAAATCCCAGTCTTCTGTTCCATTCTTCAACAATACCCCAAAAGTGCAGAAGCCGTTTTGTTTGTTTTTTGGCACGATCAGTATATAGCACCATGAAAGCCCTGCCAAGCAGTCTGTTTGGAGAGAAGTCGTTCATGTTGAAGCATATTCATACATCATCAAAGTAACACTGGCTTGTTAGCACCAGCTGGAGAAATACGATTAGCCTATCAGCAGGGTCCAGGGTGTGTGCCTGCTGTGCTGCCAGTCCCTCCACACCACCAGGATACAGAGCTAGCAGAGTTAGCCACGGGGCGGTGAAGCTAATCTACTCTGGCCTGTCAGAGATACTGTTGTTGAGAGTAATCTCTTTTATCTCACTTTCCACTTTGGTTTGATGTTGGGAAAAGCTATGGCTTATCATTTGGTAACTCATGGCAGGGAATCGTTGCATTCCTTTGCCTCCCCCCTCCCCCGTTTCTTTGTTCATTTGATCTGTTATCATCCCTTGTTTTATTGCTCTTGTGTCGTCACTGAACTAGACTTTGTGTTTGCAAACACGTTTTGTGCTTTGTTTTGACCTAGTTACCAGATGGGTGGGGTGATGGACAAATAGGACAATGAGACGTTACAATCTATTTCACATATTGTGTGAAAAACCAACACAATCCTTTATCTGATCATCTTCCTGGATTGTCCTGATGCAGTTATTCCAGCCGCTCTAGTGCTAACAGCTCCTGTGGTATTTCACGTCTGATTATCTGGTAGGGTTGATGCAACATCATTTTGAACAATCATCTACTGAAGCTAGACTAGAGAAAAGAACACATTTTGCTCTCGAACAAAGATCACAATTACCTGTAGCTTTAAAGCGCATGTGGCTAAAGACGTTCGGTCTTGAAGTTCACATAGAAACAATACACAACAAGTGCTCAAACAAATCTGTGATCACATACTCTCACACACAGAAAACAAAATAGCAAAATAAATCAATGGTTTCCTTTTTGTTGCGCAGGCTCAAGTACCGGCCTCAGGTGAAGCGAGGCTTTAGAGCAAAGTCCTTTCTTCGCGTAGTTCTACTAATAAGCACCAGTAGAATCCAGCTGGTCCTGCCCCCACCCCACAGCCCATCCACTCCTCAATCCCTCAGGGTAGCAGTCATTATCTGGTGGCAGTCCAGATCCCCTCGTGGCTCCAGTGGGCCCGGCAGTCTCATGCCCGTCTTCTGGTCCACACACCAGCACTTTCCCCGCAGGCCGTCACGTGCGGGATGACACTGCAGGCAGAAAAGATATATACATATTCTAGTCACTTCTAACAAGTCTCTTCGACCGCAGGTTCCAATATTAAAGCTGCTCTACTCAGCAATGCCATGTATGATAATCATATCTTTACTCTAATGTCGTCCTCCCCTGGGAATAATACCAAAAAGTGCCCAATGTTTGATCATTTGACCAATTTGTGACTCTTCCAATACCTTTTCTCACAAGGTGGCATTTGGTATCTACTCTTATGACCGACTTTTTAGGGGCTAAAGTCAATGTGTCTCTTTACATCTCGCTCTGGAAATGAGCCTGCCTAAAACACTGCATGTCTAAAGCCTGTTTGTCTCATTTTTATGCATTCTCGCATCGCCAAATATTGATCCTATCTTATGCATGTCTTCTCACATGGACACTCTCCAGCCAATCATGATCTGTGTATGGCTATGACGTCAATATGCCTGTCTCGCTAGCACTGGCATGCTCTCTCCTGCTGCTTCACACTCATTGGAAGAGAGTTTACAGCTTCCAGTCGCGCTACATGTCTTACTGATTAACTTAGGGACCCCCCCCCCCTACTCGCACAGCTTGATGAATGTTATATAAGAAAGACATATACATAAAATCGAATTGAAGGCATCACAAGTTGTATGAATATGTGTTTACTTTTTGTGTCTAAGGTTACACATTCACACCTGTTTGTTTGCATGCTCATGATTAGCGTACGACTGTTGTCAAAATACGATCATTTGAAGTCTCTAATGCGATCACATTTGGCAAAGCTGGCTTTAACAAATATCTTTCTTTTAACAATAGATGGAACAACTATATGTATTTTAAAGTTGTTCATAACGATACAATAAGGGTCCCTTATCAACCAACTCAGCAGTTCTCCTAGGTTTCACATTCTCTTTCATGGCATCAATACTTTATATCTTTGGTCCAAACTTTAATATCTGAGTATTTCTTTAGCAGCCGACTTCTGTATTCAACCAATGAGCTCTCAAAGCCTATTTGACCTTGCCTGTCCTTTACCAAACGTCACACTGAGAACAAATGGAACTGAATGATGTGCAGCATTGAGCAGAAAGCAAAACAGCTTAAAAAAGAGTGAATATAGGAATGTCTGGATGTGCAAACATGCAGGTGTTTGCTAACGAGTTCTGTTAAGGAGATAAGTTATCTTTGTGTTGTGTTGTGTTGTGTCAACAGCTTGTTCTGCCCTGAGAAATCAATGACTGGAGGTTCAAACTGAGGTGACAGACTTGTTTGATCATCTTTAAAGAACATTGGAAGGCGTATTGGCAGGGCCATAATCCCCATGGATGACATCAGGCCTGACTTCTAAGCTTATAAGGATGATTTCATTGTAATGCACACTTGGCTATGTTTTCCCTAAATGGTCAAATATACAAAACTCATGAGATTCCAGCTCTGGACTTTGAATGATTCCTGTAATCCTAACTGTTTGGGTCATTTTGTACTTTTCCTTTAATGATTTACAGTTTCCAAAAGCCTTTAAGGTAAGTTAAGGATCTGCGAGTAACCCTGCCATGGAATGATTGCCAGTTGTCCCTTATGACCTGTGCTTTACTTCCCAATAGGGTTTATCACAGTGCACATTTGGTTAAACAGTAAACAGATGCCTGTGAATGTGAGCAGACAGATACTTTAACCGCGTTACACAACCAACACAACGGAGACTGTGTTAGCAGAGCGTTCTTTTATCACTCACTCTGCGTCTGCTTTCTGCTTTGATTGTCTGAGCAGTCTTATCTGTGTTATCTTCTCTGATTGTCTCCCTCTTATCTGCGCAGTTGCCCAATCGTGCAAACGCACAATAACAAAAAAGTGACTGCCTCGAAGCGCTAATTGCATCCATAACAGTAATAAAGTGATTTTTGGTAACTGTTTAGAGAAAACCACTTTAACAAACCATCGGTCTCTCTTCGACTCCACAAATCTCTGCAAAAAAAGGTCTTGGCATCTCCGTGACAGTCTGCTTGGAGCAAGTCTGTGTTGTTATTCCACTAGTAAGACAATACTTCATCTTCTGCAGGCATGTTTTGCGTTATGTTCCTGATGAAGTTTGAAAGATTAGTCTGGCTTTATAATATGCTTCACAGTTTGCCAGTTCACATGACCAAAGAGTGTTCTGCTCAGTCATTCAGTAAAGCCTGGTCACAGACCTGTTTAGTGTGGAAATCTCCGTTCCTGTCACAGTTGGGTATTGGGATCGTGAAGAGATCGTCATGTGTGCGGCTATTTGACGCCAACCTGTCCAACGCTCTCTGTAGCTCAGCACGACATGGAGCCTGTAGGAGAAATCACTTTGTTATTTGATGTCTGTACACAACAGCATTCCAGATCAGGCTGGGCAGCACAATGTAGTCGGTTTTAGATCTGAACAGGGATGTGTTGTGCGATAATCAAATCTCGGAACACTGCACATTCAAATGTTAATATCGAAACGACATCACGGTGAGACCACCGCTAAGCTAAAGGAGGCTAATGCTCGGTGTGATGACGTTTAGTTAGTCAAAGTCACTTTTTAGCAACCGCTGTTTTTATGACACATCGAGGCTTTGGAGATTCACCAGTGGGATGTTCAGTGATGTATTTGATGTCATATCAAATGTTAAAATCTCTTGTGTTAACAACAGAATATATATCAGGCTTCTAACAAAAGACACGTTCAAAAACCATTGACTTTGTGAACAATGAACCAGAAGTGGTCAAATGCTAACTCAATGTCAGGGTTTAAGGACTCATTCCTGCACCACTCTGAGGAGGAATGTTTGGAATAATGTCTTTAAAGTATCATTTGTTAGACTTTAGCTGTACAGTGAAGGCAGCAGTAAGGCAGAGCTTCAACTTGTGTGTGAGTGTATTCGTTGCAACTGAAATGGTTATAGGGAAATCAAACAAATGAAACTTCAATGTTCCCAATTGTGCAGTCAAAACAGTATTGCTGATCTTCAGAAAACGAAATAGGGAGAACATTTAAATGATAAACTTCAAATGAACCACCACATGTAAAGACATCATTCCAGTTGGGCAAAAATGGAATGAACACCAAATATGCAATAAAATAAAAAGTGGCATTTTAAAGTGGGAAATAAATACCAGGCAACTATATGAATTGAGCAATACCAACTTTAACTTTGCTATCATGATTTATATGATGAAATAAATCAAATAAAGCAAATCAGGCATAAAAGATCAACTCAACATCGCAGAGGTTTATATTACCCAAGCCAACTAATGATTGCATGTGAATGCATCATTGTGGCCGATGTTTATAATCAGTCCGCAAAGCCAATCCAGCTGCTTCACCACAAGTCTTTAAATCCTAACCTACTGTATATGCGGGAGACACGTGGACATGTTTGGCAAACGTCTGTGTTAAATGAATGCACTGTGGTAAAAGCAGTCTGTGACTGATTCATGTGGATGTTATGATCCCCCTCTTGCCAACATTAAAGCATCAAATTGCATGCTGATGTCAATGTGCACCTGTACTTTGTTCCGCAAGACTGCAATTAAATGTTACGATCTGTAAATAACTAATTTGTACATTTATAACCTGACTGTTACGCTCGTGGCTTTGGAAATATAAAGCCTTAATGTGAAACACCTGCTGGGCTGAGGCTTTTGCAGCAGAAGGAATGACTTTGTTGTTTTCCCTGAACATGTCAGAAGATGTTGCTCTCACCAGTGCCGCCTTGGCCTCCTCCCGGGCGTTGTTATTTCTCTGGTTGGATTTGGGAGGGTGTCGGGCCAGGGTCTTCTGTATGCAGCGCTTGTCCTGCGGACTGCAGCGGATGTTGCTGTTGTTCGGGTGTTCAGGGATGATCTCATCCTGCCTCTCCATTGCTAAAGGACGAGGGGAAATGTTTTAGTTCCTCCATGTCAACAAATTGGACATTGCACTGACGTCAAGTATTACATAAACAGTTGTAGGAGGCTGAACTGACATTGTTCTACATTTCAAAACTTTTGTTGAGGTTTTCAATGAAGCTCTAAATGTCTGTCTTCATATTTTGTGACATCCCCCAAAAAAACAATTTAAAATCCTTGAAGGATTATCCCTTAAAATGAATAAATGGGTTCAATAGAAGAAGCCCTATTATGTGACATGCTTTAATGTTTAGAGATGTCGGCAATGTCCCGCCCCTTAGCCTATAACAATGTGTTGGAGCGCTAGCCAGCGCGAGTGTTACATAGTGATGGCACTATGTAAACAAGTTTGTGAGAGATAAATTCCATCTGGAGGGAACTTTATTCAGGCTATTAGCCTTTGCTGACCACTTACATGCACACAAACCTATAGAGCACACTACAGGAAACCCTTCAAAAGCATTAAAGGGCCTCTTTAAATTAGTGAGGCATTTTTAGTTAATCAACCTGAATATACCATGTCAGAATGGACCTCCATTAATGTGCAGCAAGTGGAAGAGAACCGTTTTTTGAGTGCCGTAAAAATGTTGAATTGAACAATTATATTTTGTTGTTGTGAATTTTGTAAATAATTACATCTCCAATAACAGTAGACTTTTGGACTTTTACAATGCTCTGGAGTTATTTTAAGATGTTGTTTTGCACAAGTCAGTTACACAAGACTGTAATCGAATTCTACAAATACTTCATATAATAATATTTATATAAGTACAGCTTTCTTTTTTCTGCAACCGTGCACAGATACAGACTTAAAACACAATGAATACCATGCAAAGACATTTAATGCTGATTTAGAATTCAATGTGTTTTAATGATATGAGCACAATATGAGGCAATGAGTCCTTGTCCACCATGTTCAGCTGTATGCCATGTGATGTAGGCTAAAAAGGAGGCCAGGTTAACCTCAAGGACACAGAGCCATGTTCCCGCTCTGAGGGGTAATCTGCTGCTCTTCTTCTGCACCACCGCCATGCCACCAGCTCTGAGGCTTTTTATACCGTACCACCCCTGTCCGACCACCCTCTGTACATTATGGTCTGTGCCACATTCACCTTTGCATCCCTGTAATCCTGCAGATCTGCGGCCCTTCAGGCAGACAGCTGCTTCCTCAGGAAATGCCCCCCTCCCTCCTCATTCTCCACCCCTCCACAACAACCTCCCTCCGTGCCAGATGGAGGTTGTTAAAGGGTATTTGCACTGTCACAAGTGGGCACAAGTGTGTGTGTGCGTGTGTGTGTGTGTGTGTGTGTGTGTGTGTGTGTGTGTGTGTGTGTGTGTGTGTGTGTGTGTGTGTGTGTGGTGTGTGTGTGTGTGTGTGTGTGTGTGTGAAGATAGCTAAAATGAGGGTAAGGGGTTTTGTGTGTGCTTTTTCACCTGTGGCCAACAAGACTTGGCAGAGTGTAGTCTTTTTGCTCATAACCCGGGGCATTTTACAGATTGGCACTAGAATCAAAGCACTTTAAACTGTGTGTGTGAAGCTGTTCTCGCTCCGATCATTGAACCTGATCTGAGCCATGGTTAATATCAAAGGTCACTGCCAGGCATTCACTGAATAGCTCTTGGCAAAGAAACATCAAGGTGGCTTAGTACTCTTCTTAATCTTGTGCAATGTGCAGCTTTTGTTCACGTCCACATCCAAACCATCCAAACCATCCAAACCATCCCAAGCTTTAGTTAGTCCGAGCCCCGCTGTTTACAGGAAATTGATGCTGGGCCATTTTTGGGATATTATAATTGTTTAAACAACTTGGCGTCGACCTGTGTTGGAAGGTGACCGTGTGTGTCTAAACTTGACAGACAGTCATTTTGCTCCGCTTGTCTTTCCGTGGGGAAGTGTCTCTCGGCTGTTTGTATTTTTAGTCTTGTTGCTGTTAAGGCTCACTCATCAGCACTTTGTTTCACAAGCGCCAACAGAGTTTCAGCTGTTTCCTTTCTTCCAAGTTGTTCTTTCTCCTCTTTCACCAGTTCAAACTTTTCCAAATCTGAGTTTCTCAGTAAGGAGAGCCAAAGTGATGCTGAAGTGGGTCAGGGGTGGCATGTCCTGTTTGCTACCACTGCTGTTTTCTGCAGAGGAAGTCGCCACTGCTCTGTTTTCATTTGATCTGGATCAGCATGGAGCTGATGCAGTGCTCTGCCAGTCACAAGTGCACAGCAAAAAGAAATACATCTTGATAAACATCTATGCTAAACAATCTAACTTAGATTCAGAAACTACCTTCACCTGTCTTTTTTTGTTTTAATATGTTGTAATTCTAAGCCAAAAGAGAATCCCCTTTGTGAGACCTTTGTACAAAAACCTGAGATGCACCTTTTAAAAAAATAACATAATATCTGCTCTATTAATACAAATATGCTGAGGATCGCTACAGGATGCTCATGAAGCGTGGTGCATAGATTATCCATTTACATTTGAGTCTGAAGACCCTAACAGGAGCTGCTGAGTATCCTTACACCACATAGAGCCAACATCAGCTTTTCCCAGTCCCCTCATGTCTGTATGAGTATGTATCTATATGTAACAACAAAGTGGCAAACCTATGTAAGAAGTCATGACGGTTATATTTTGCAACTATAGAATGTCCCACTTAGTTAAGTGGGACATTCATAGGCTGGATAAAATGTGGACCTTGTCTCTGTGACATTCAAGAGCCAATGTTCAGCGTGTGCGCCGCGGCACCGCCAAACTTATCCAAACTCTTGGCTAATCCAAAATGGGAGCAGAGGTGGATCCTTGGTGGCAGACCCGGCCAGCAGCTAGAAACCTGTGACCTCACCCACCTGTCACTCAATGTGACCATGCACGTCATTTTGCAATTTTTTTTGCAATAATATAATCATAATAAGTGGTTTATATTGTTTTTATTTTTATTTTATTCACTCATTATAGAGACCACAAAAAAGTGTTTGTACCAGGATGGTAACATGTTTATACTGCTGTAAAGTTGGTCATTTGAACATGTATCTGTATGGGGATTGACTTTTTTGATCGAGCTTAAAGTGGAAAGTTAAGGAAATGTAGCTTTTGAATTCCACAAATGTGTCACAATGTAATCAAAATGTCAAGTATTCCATATAGAAAGTAGTTCCTTGTTTTTGCTGAGCAATTTTTTTACTTTTTTACTTTTTGTTGCAGTGATGTAGGACTGTACTTCAGGGCGTGCTATACACTGTGACATCACTGATGGGTGGGGTTAAAAATGCAACTGGTGCGTAGTTCTAGGTGTCCCATAGCCCATGAAAACATTGTAAAGGATTTGTCTTTTCCTTTGAATCCATCCTCACTGTTTAGTGCATTGAAGAGTCACGGCTCAGTGCACAGTCAGGCATCAGATCTTTTCCTGAGGCCTTTGCCTTAGCCAGGGTCATTCCTGTTCCTCCACCTTATTCATTCCATAAACCTTGCCCAGAGAGGCTTAAATGTCAATTTCATTTCAAACTTTCACAAGATGCGGGAAAACATTGAGTGTAATGTGTTGGTTCTTGTGACAGAGATAGAAATAATAGATTATACTATATTGACAGCAACTAATCTCCTGACAAATGAACACTGTTTGGGGAGGCTACTCCTCCAAAGTGTTTGATAAGTGTTTTTACAACACAGAGAGCTGGCAGACAGCTCCAAAGTCAACTAGGCCTTGTCCCAAAAAAGTGTTCACTTTAGTCAACACTGGATCCTGGTTTCCTGGCAGGAGCTTTCTTTGAATCAGTTAATCATCTGAGTCAATGTTTGGGGCACTCCTAAAAACACTGTTAAAGACTACTAGGGGTCAAAAGGCCAGTGGAAATGTTGGATAAGGGTCATTTGTCAAAGAAAAGATAGTTAAATCAACAGTGAATCACAAAGGCAACCTTTGTGAAAAGGAAAGCTGCTGGACTGGCTGATGCGTCTTTGGCCACTTTGCTTTCTACTGATGTTATAAAACAGACATCCTGAAGTACGACACGTCTGTGAGCCTGAATCCAAAGAGAGCAGGGCAGCACCAGTTGACTGTCCTTTTTCATTAACACTTTTACAAGCAGATCATCTTAAAGACAAACATTTTAGTGAGGGATAAAAAAATGCACATTCTTACTTTCAATCATAAACTGCTGTGCGAAAGTCAAAGAAACTGCATCCCAAAAATAAAGCCATGATCATCTCCCAGCTAGATTACCTTCAGTACAAACATTGTTTTGATCCTGACAAAAACCCTTTGGATCGCACTGGTGGAAATCAAACATGGTTTGGTCATATCAATTCAATCCAGAGGGTTTTCCCACACTCCCTGCCTCCTATGGCATTTCTTCCACAGTTCTTTCTGTTTTCGGAACGCAACCCTAATTTTCAATCTAGATTTTAAAAAAAATGTTTTAAAGCATCTGAGTGCAACAATATTAAGTGATCTAATATGATTAAAGTCATATTTAACCTCATGGAATAGACATCACCATTTTTTCATTAATTACAGATGTGTTAGTAAAAATCTATCATACCGTACCAGCCAACTTTACTTCATCAATTGTTGATGCACTGAATCTACTACTCGAATAGATCTAAGACATGACAGAAAGCTGCAGCCGGAGTGAATGAGATCAAATCATATTTAAGTATATCATTCACTTCATTTGAGTGGATTGCCCTTTTTAAAATATATGTATAATTGCAGTGCAAGGAGAAGAAGTTAATACTACAGTATCTTAACGAACCAGTGACTAGGCATACTACCTGAAATATCAATACAAGTATTGATCATTATATGAAAGGCATGTATTAAAGGGGACCTATTATGCAAAATCCACTTGTTCATGTCTTTTATACATCAACATGTTTCCCCTCTGGGCAGGAAAAAAAGACCTCTCTCTTCTTGTCCTGATCCATTTATATAAAAACCTGTCTGAAAATGAGCTGATTTTGGCCACTTTATGATGTCATAACGATTTGTTGGCTTGTGTAACCATTAGCCAATCAGCAACCAAGGTAACCCCCCCCCCCCCTTATCACCTGAATCTCCTCCTAGAGCACCATTGTGTTCTTTTAACCAAATATCTCTCATGCCCCTTTCACACCAACGCGGTTCCAGCGGCCGGTTCGGAGCTGGAGCTTGAAAAGCACCGGTTTTTCCTGTTCACACTGCAGCGGAGCCGCCTCTAAGCTCCGGAATCCGGTTCGTTTCAAGCACCAAAAAGTTGTCGGTCTAGAAAGCAAGCACCGTTTTACTGTTATACCATAGTAATTAATGCTGCAAAGCTGGGTATTTTGAGCTTGGTGCGTGCAGAGGCACGGCAACAGCTAGCTCTAACGCCATCGAATAGGACGTATATTTACCTTCTTTCTCCTATGGAATCGTCGTTGATGATGATGATGTAAAGAACTTTTGAATGTAGCATGTAACGACTGTAAAGTTGGTAGTAAAGTCGTCCCATTTCTTCCATTTCGTTTCGACAGAGCAAAACCAAAACGAGTAGCGCTCGCAATCGGTCATTGTTGTCGATGTGAGGGGTTTCCGCGCGGTTTGGCTTTATGAAGCAGGCACGCAAACGGTTACGTCATAACGCAAACAATGACGCAATGACGCAGCACCAGTCGGGCTCTGAGCGGTGTGAACAGAGCGGGAGCTGAACCGAAGAACCGGTTCCGAACCAGAAAAGCTCTAGCACGGAGCTAGAAAGAGAAAAGCCTTGGTGTGAAAGAGGTATCAGAGCGGCGTGGGGAGGGGCTCCTTATTTTTCACCTAAAGTAACAGACACAGAATCAGCACTTTTGAAACAGGGCTGAAACAGAGGGGATTATGGGATGCTGCAATGATCTGTTTGGTGTTTCAGACAAACACTTCAGAGACATGTTTTGTGTATATCTGAGACCTATAATATATTGATGAAAAACAGTATAATAGGGGACCTTTAACATTAAGTCAATACATCCACATGTAAATTGCCTCTTTGTTTTATTGGATCAGATAATATTAGATTTACATTTATAAGAGAAGTTCGTTCAAGTAAAGCACTTTCAAATGTAAAAAACGCCATCAAAATCTAAATTGCCAACTTCCTGTTGGGTTAACGATATTCCTCCAATCGACTTTTTGTGTTGTGTCTGCGTGTTACATACGGTGGCTGACAGGTGGGACGGGCTACAATGGCCCAAAACACTTCCATAAGGAGAAACACGCTGCACTTTCAAAAACAATACAAATATATAGAAACACAAATGTGCCAAAACACATGCATATGAGGAAACATCTTCACCAACTTGACGAAACATGCGCAACGTTGCATAAAAGTAACGTTGCAAATACAAAACGCTGTAAGCTAGCTAGCTAATGTAGCTAACCTAGTCATTTCAAATATATTGACAAACACTTACAATCATGAAACAGGCTAACTCTGTGAGAGTGCCAACATTTGAATCTCCTAATGTCACCAAGCGCTACGGTCCCAGCTGTGTGCATCCCTTTTTATTGTCCCTGTTTCCGTTGTGTTTTGTGCTTCTTGCAGCGTTGTGTCTAAGCAGCATGTGTTTTGGCACAATTGTGTTTTTATATTTGTATCCCTTTTGAAAACGCAGTGGTCGGCCACCGTGCATACCTACATAATTCACACATCTAGGACAATTGCTCATATAAATGGTGGCGATGTGGAGCCAATTTGGCACACCCAAAAGCAAGAATTATTTCCCAAGAATTCCAACGTTTCACTGTCCTGCTCAGATTGGGCCTGTGTTCATGGCCAGGACTATGTTGGCCTGTTTGTGTCCCTCATCTCCAACACGAGAAGGGGGCTGATCAAATGTACTCCTGCATGAGAGCCGCAGCTGTACAAATGGGCTGCACAGCACAAAAGAAAGCAAACACACAACAATAAGGGACATCTGCTGAAAATCCTCACATAGCACATCCACATCTCCCAAAACGTGCTGAGGAAAATCAAAGTTAGCATGCTGCTTTCATCAAGACCTGCGTGCGTCACAGCAAAATGGGGCGCAGTTGGACAGAGTCACGCTTCGTCAACAGCTCCATTCATGCAACTCCTTCAGTGCCTGTAGGTGTAAGATTTTTCATATCTGACATCTTTATCAATTTGTAAATAATATCCGTTTCACTGTCAGAGGGAAGCATTCGAACACGACACCAGGGCCGACTCGGCAGGAATGCTGTAGCAGACGCCAACATACGCATGATGATTCATTCTGAGTATCTAGTTAGCGAGGGTTTCTAAGAATGAAAGATTAAGATGAAATGAAGCTGTCTCAAGAATATGAGGTTGATAACACTTTTTAAATACACAAGGGGTGATGGCTCATAAACTTTGCCAGCTTGATTTCATGAATTTTTATTCTAACTTTCATTAGTAGCAAGTATAAAACCAGCCTTAAAGAGAGGTCACAAATCTTATGCATGTTATTTTGCAGTATCTGGATGCAGAGCTGCAACTACAGTATTAGCATCCTAAATTCCCTTCAGTGGACTGTGGAGCTCTGCCTCCATCTCAGGGTACTTTTCATTATAAATTCTCTTGGTTTTTAAAAACCCTCTTCTATTTTTATCTAGCATGTTCACTGTTGCTAGGAGTGGGGCAGTGTCAGACATGTATTCAGGAGATGCACCCCCCGTTTAATAATGCATAAGTACGGTGAATGCGCCACAAAGGAAATCTCCTGCTTCTGACCGGAGTTGCTCTTCGCCTCTCCCCCTACGCCTTTCTGATTGTCTCTCCCCCTGCCATGGTTTACTTTGAACATTCTTATCCAGCGATCTGAGCTGCTGCCCGGCAGAATTGATTCACAGTGAGATTTATCGGGCCGTGCTTCCCCGCTTTGTTATGACAGATTCCAGCGGTAAGAAGGAGTGTGCATGCAAACAGACTTGAGCACTCAGATTACAGAATACCCAAAACAAATTTATGAACTTTCCAAAATACTGCCGCCCCGGACCGGAGACGCCCTCCCTGTACTCTGAAACCAGGCTGATCGGACAGCATCAAAGAGCCGAAACAATAACCCTTCTGCAAGACGGACAGCCCCCAGTTTTATTATCAGGCTCTGAGCAGCTTTCCTCTTCTCTCTGATTCCATTTAGTCATGCAACGCCTAACCTACGCTGGCCCTGCACACAGAGCAGAAGGCTCTCATTTCAACTCTGGCAGCAAGAGTGCCGATGAGCTCATCCTTATGAAGGAGCTGGACGCGGTGGGCGATGCGCTCCAAGGCTTGTTAGGGGGGGGGGGCGGGGGGGCGGGGGTGCATCCGGGGCCAGGGGAAACCGCAATGAAGATGAGAGTCCTGGGAGTTTTCTATTGGCTAAGTTCATCCAAATCTTTGGTGTTCTGGCACTTACAGACACTCTACTACCATTACTGTCTGGGAGATCAGTGGAACTAACGACTGGCAGGTTAGCTGATGATCTGGAACCAATGAAAGAGCTAAGACACATTATTACAACTGTCTCATATGGCTTAATGGAAATCAACACCACTCCCTTTGTGGAGAGCAGAGGAAGATAAACACTGGAGACCGGAGAAGAAGTCAACGTCAAAGCAGTGAACTGGAAGCGTAGATAAGACTTCCAGTATTAGACGTCCCACCTTGTGAAAGTGGAAACAGACTTTCTGTTTGGAAAGTGAATGCAACAATAAAGAAGGAAATAAAAAGCTGTACCAAAAGAGTGTGATAGAGACATTTAGACGTCTGCAGCAGCAGGAGGAAGAAGAAGAGGAGGAGGAGGAGGAGGAGGAGGAGGCAGGGGGGCGTCCATGAAAGAGCACCAAATGAATTACTGATTGCAGAGAGCTCTAATAGCCCCACGCTCGCCACACTCCATTACAGTCATTTCATACGCAGCTTTTATTACCTCCTCCTATTACAAACACACACACACACATTCACTTTTCCCACACACACGCTCTTTTCCCACAATGCATTTCAATTCAGTGCACGTTAACCTGCAGGATCTTAGTTTAGTATTTGCATGATGAGCTATATGAAGGTATTCTTTTCTCCGTATTTACAAAACGCATGGTTCCTTCCTCACGAGCACGTCACACGGTCATACACACTGCAGAAGGATGCAGCAGAAGCTCCTCACACACACTCACACACGCCCACCTCAGCTATCAGGAGCCGGCTCTGCGTCTCACAGCAGGGCCCCTCTCTCAGCGAGCAGCCGGGAGTGTGTGCACCCCCCCATCAGGCCATGTGCGAGGAGCTGGGGAGTGTCCAGGCTCTGGTTCGGGGCTTAGCCGTGATTAGGGTCAACAAGCAGCACATTGTCACACACACACACACACACACACACACACACACACACACACACACACACACACACACACCTTACTTTGACCGTGCCCGGCTCAGGTAAGGCCCAGGGAGCGGAGTCAGAAGATATTCTGGTCTGCTTGGTGGAGACCTGCTCAGCTGTGGCTGACCCTAAGAGAGCATCTTCACATTTGCACATATCAAATATGATCTAAATGCTTTGGATCTGTAACCCTAACTGTAATTTACAATAAATGGTAAATGGACTGTATTTATAAGAACTTTTCCAGTTTTTAAAACGTCAGCATTCACACACATTCATACAGACGGCACCTGCTCAGGGACACTAGCACTCAGACACCCTTTGCCATGCCATCGGAACCAATTTGGGTTTAAGTATCTTGCCCAAGGACTCATCAACATGTTGACTGAAAGGTTTGGGGATCAGACCACCAACTGTCCATTTGGAGGACGACCATCTACCTCCTGAGCTACTGCCACCCTCTAAACTAAAAGCAAGTAAAAGGAAAATATATTCTCCATGAGTTCAGAACCCTTTACTCTCACCTGAGTTGTCCTCCACCTCCCTCTCGTCAGTGCACACCCCCTGGCCGTGCATCAGCGAGTGCAGCGGCCTCTCGACGCCGCGTGGTGGGTAGCAGCGGAGGCCCGTGGTACACCGGGGCGAGTAGACGCCACAGTGGGCCCCTTTGGGCAGGGCGCAGGTGGGGCAGCAGCCACAGCCGGGCTCCCGCACCGTCTCCTCGCAGCCGTCAGGCAGGCGGCAGCTGGCCAGCCTCTCCTCGGTGCACAGCGGGCAGCGGATGGCCTGGTCCGACAGGCACAGTGCCAGCAGCGACAGGGCGCCAAATGCCCAAAGGGTCCAGCAGGACGGAGCCGCTGCCCCGTCACCTCCACGCACCATGACAGCCCCGGCACCTGCACACAATCCTTCTAGTCTCCCCTTTGCCTTCCTCTCCCCTCACTTTCTACTTCCACTGCAGATTTGAGAGAGAGGTTTGAGAGGAGCGCTTTGTCCAGGACACTCTTTGATATTTTCAGCTGGTTAGTGTTTCAATTGCAGGGACACAAAGCCTCTGCTGTATTGCCTCTCTGTTCCTCTGATTCAATTTCACAGTGCAGAAATTGGAGCCAGCTTCTGATGTGCCCGGCTGGCGAGTGACGTGGTGATAGGAACTATTTTTTGTTACGTTAGAATGAACAGGAAGGATATCCAGCACTGTGTTCAGGTGAGTCTTGTTGTCGCTCCGAGTTCGAGTCCAGAAGCTCGCCCTCCCTCGAACGAGCCCCCAAAAAATCCGGTCTACAATTGTCCAAATGCAGAGCAGGACATAAAAAGGCAGTGTTTGAAGTAACAGCTGCAGTTACCCCTCTTGCTGGTGTGCAGTGTAAAGGCTCCTGAGAATGGCTCAACACGAGTGGCTCTCCTTGGACTTTATACTGGTCCATGGACACGCCTCTTTCTACAGTGAGAAAGGAGCTGAAAAGCACAGCAGAGAAAAGCCAGGCTAAAGCTCTCTCCCTCTGTCTCCCTCTGTCTTACTCTCACACACAAGCTTACACACACTCTCCCTCACTAGTCCTTTCTCAATCCTGAGTGCATGCAGGGAAAAAATCAACCTCTCACTTGTTCACACACAGGTTTCTCTTATCGTCTTCAGTCATACGTGTTCGACTTATTTCATTAAAAAAAACCTGTTTATATCCATCTGAAATGATGAAACACCAACAACAAAAAACTGAGAACACACCAGTCCTGTTTCACTTTAATAAACCCCAAATGCCTGAAACACACACTCACACACTCTCACACAAACTCACACACTCTCACACATGTATGTGCCTCGGGGGTCGAAAAACATTGTTCAAACAACAAAGCAACCTCAAGCCTGCTCACTCAACAAGGTGTGTGTGTGTGTGTGTGTGTGTGTGTGTGTGTGTGTGTGTGTGTGTGTGTGTGTGTGTGTGTGTGTGTGTGTGTGTGTGTGTGTGTGTGTGTGTGTGAGTGTGTCTCTCTGTGTGTGCATGTGTGACTTGTGCGTCAAGTGGTCACTCTGTTTATCCCCCTCATTATGTCAGCCCCCAGATCTCTCTCTCTTTCTCTCCCTTGCTACTAACGGGAGTGGGCAGCTGTAAAAGGCCAATGGACAGTCTAACCACCCCCCCCCCCCTCCATCTTCAATGCCGCCCTCCCCCCAGACGGTCCTAAAAAAGCCTCCCTCCACTGGGATTGCAGGATAACTTTTAACAACGTTTCCAAAGTGGACGAGTTTATGATACGTGTGTGTTTGTGATCATGAAAGATTGTATCAGATCAGCGTGTGTGGGAGATATGCCCTGCACCCAGCCTTAAAGGGTTTGAATCATGGCTTTTATTGGTCGAAGCCTCATTCTTTTTTTTTTTCCTATTTTCCTTGGCCTCCGTTTTGCCATGGAAACCCAGCATGTATTGTAATGTCTTTGTGAGAGCGCTTTCTTTCAGCTCTTTTCCTTGGGCTGGTAGCCAAGCCTCACAATGAGGCCGCGCAGCACTCAGGTGGTGCCGCAGTGTGTGTTGTTGTTGGTTACATGGCATCTACATTCCTCATTACTCAAACTTGATCAGAAATAACATTAATGCCCGTTATTCAGCCACTCATTGCATTCCAAGGGAAATATTTGAAAGAAAACGACATCTGTTCAATTTCACTTAAACAGCCCGTCTGGCATTGGGTAGTTAGTGGAGCGGCTCACTGATCCTGGAGCTCACCAGAGAGCCAGCAGTTTCATTATGTGTCATTTATGAGCAGTTTTATTTACGAGCTGTGTTTCAAGGATTCAAGGATTTATTATTGTCATTATACAATACAGGATTGCACAATGAAATGCAGTTGTGTGGGGTGCATTCAGGACGGTTACTCAGAGGTTAGCAATGCTATTTTCTAGGTGTTTTGCCAACGAGCTAATTTGTTCATCTCTATAGAACTACAACCGATGTGTATACACGTTTCATCTTTTTTCAAAATAATTGTTCTGCCTATATTATTACAAAGTATAAACAGATGACGTCAAATTAGTTGAATAACAACTCTGGCAAGACACCAGTTGTTAATTTGCTGTTTATGGTCAGTACTTTAAGCATTTGGCCAATAGTGTATCTGTTTATCTGTGTGTGTATTTAGCTCACGTAACATGAAGGTTACAAGACATTTATTAGGACAATTTCACATTTGAATCACTCCTCCAGCCACCTGACCCATCTCATCTTCTTAATAGCTAAATGTAATAGTGGTACTAAAAGCGCAGATTATTGTCTCTCAGTTGACATTTGCTCTGTGGGATGACATCAGTTGTTGGATATGGTGTGTTATTGATACGGTCCAGGAATGGGCTCCATATTTTCAGTTATGAGTGTGACTTGTTAATCTTCTATCTTGGATGTTATTCCACCCACTGCTCGAATAATGAGGGTGTGACAGTTTTCCATTGTCTCACACTTATTCTGCACCCTGTTAACACGGCCAATGGCCTGTCTATCTCCATAGAGGCTGAATCATCATGTTAATCGTTGTCATATTCCTAAAACAGTGTGTCCTGACGCTCTTCCAGGTAATCATACATCCTGTTGCGTACACAGTTACAGTTGGGCCTTTTTTTATCATGTGCTACTCTTATATGGGAAGAGTACATTCAGTATTTTCCCAACAGTCATTTTCATAGATCCTCAACATGTCACAGTTTCATGTGTGCCATGGTTCCAACATCTCAATGACAATGCCAACGTCAGAGGTGGAATATTTCAGATCCTTTTACTTAAAAATAGTAATACTATGGTCTTCAATTACTCCATTATTAGAAACAGTTTTAAGTTTAAAGACTTACTTACGAGGTTCAGAAGTATTATCAGCTAAATGTACTCAAAAGTATCAAAAGTACTCTGTATGCAGGCTCTTTTCAGTTTGTTATATTATTTTAGAATATTATATTATCCTGTTTTTATTACAAACCAATACATGGAAGTACATTTTAAAGCCGGTTTAGACACTTTCAAATACAGGATTGCATTAATATATGAATAGTATAGTACTGCATCAAATTGTTCAAGCATATCAGATGTGTTTATATGGCGGTTGTTTTTCAATCAGAAATACCCATCCCCTGCAGTTCACATGTCGATTTATCCTTGGGCGATATACTTACCCCAATGTTGATCCCGACAACATGGCCCACGGTGTGTGAATGTTAGCTTTCTTGAGCAGGTTGCATCTGGCATGGCACGTCTGTACGAAAGGGGTATGAATGGGTGAATGATGACATGTGAATGTAAAGCACTTTGTGGAGTTGTAAAGACTGGTTAAAGCGTTATATAAATGGAGTCCATTACAATTTACCATTTAAAGTGGACCTATCATGCTATATTGGAAAAATATATTGTAGGGCCATACCTATACAAAACATGTCTGTGAAGTTTTTTGCTTAAAATACCAAACAGTTCACCCATTGTAGCCATGCCTCATACTGCTCATACACCTCTTTTGCAGCCCTGTTAGAGAAACACAGTTTTTTGGGTCCTTAGCTTGAAAAAAGAGGAGGAGGCGGAGCTAATGCCTGATCAGAATTCTACCGGAGATAAAGTTGAATTCTGCTGTGCCTGTGATAAAACGCGATCCTGTTCTAAACCACATCAAAGATTATTTCTGAAACAGTATGGAGCTCAAATGCCTTTTCTCTTGCTGGTTTATCACAAGGTTTTTTTATTTCCTGCTTTTTAAACACATGTGCTCTTCAGTACAGGTTAGCTCTGAGTGTTAGCGAGGCTTGCTAATGTAAACAAAGACGAGATTACGTCCAAAACACGTCAGGCATTGTTTCTGATAGCAACTTTCTGTGAGTCCGCTGCCGATTTGACGTCAGATCGGCAGCAAATCTGTATCCGCTCGTTGTACCCCCGTTTTTAAAAGATTTGGGTACGGAGGAAAAGAGAGAGGGTTCCCCGACGCACCGGGGACACATATGTATGTATAAAAGACATCACAAAGTGCATTTTGCATGATAGGTCCCCTTTAAGTTAATGCATTGGAGTAAAAAGTACAATATTTACCTGGAAAATGGAAAAGAAGTATAAAGTTCCATAAAATGGAAATACTCCAGCAAACTATGTTCTAAGCTACGTTTGTCCAAGCTCAATATGACTTATTTCCACAGTTGTTGTTCAGGTTAAGTTGCATTTGACATTTGGAGAAAAATGCCTTTTTTAAGGCTGACACTTTGTAAAAGGCTTTGAATTTCAGTTGGATCACAGGACTAAAGAATATTTTAGAATCGGAGGGATGAAAACCTCTTTAATGGTCACACATGCAGAGCGCACAGCACACACAGTGAAATGTGTTCTCTGCATTTAACCCATCCAAGTACCAGGAGTCTAGTACCAGGAGCAGTGGGCAGCTATTGTACAGTGCCCTGGGAGCAAATGGGAGTGGGTGGGGGGAAGGGGTTGTCTCTCCAAGTAGCAGTCCACACTCCATATTTAGGTCTGGTCAGAGATTGAACTGGCGATCCTACGGCTCACAGTCCAAGCCCCTACTGACTGAGCCACTGCTGAGCAGAAGTCATTTTTGAGCTGATCGTATCTAATTATAAATACAACATTAATATATTCAAACATTAGACTTGTCCTTTTTATGTTATGAATCATTTAATTGGGTCTAAGGTCAGACCAGGCAGATGGTAAAAGCTGTGAGGTCCATCTTAATCTTTAGATGGCATCTCTGTTTTTGTTGACATGTTTTGACTACAGGCAGATTTGTCAGGGCACTTTGTTTGCTTATGCTTAATACTGTATCCTGTAAACACAGTGCACTGACGTTCGTTTTAAATAATAAATTAGCCATTACTTAATACAAAAAGGTACATCTGCGAATTGTTAAATATATTTGATTGAATTCGGATTTCTTGGTTCCAGTTCAGTAACATGGTTATCCTGACGATAGTTAGGGCCACAAAGTAGGGGTGCTGTGATTATTATTGAGCATGTGTCGAGTGTGTCTTAATGGACGAGTATGCAAACAGAGGAGGGTAATGGAATCGTGTCGGTGAGAAGGTTACTTGTACCGATCCAAAGTGTCAGGGTTAAGGAAAATAGGACCCAAATGTAGAACACAGACAGGGAAGGCGGGTATCCAGGTTTTAACAAAAAGTGAGCTTTATTCTCAAGCTGATAACAAGCAAAGGAAAACTAAGAAACACTAACCGGGTGAAACAAGGAACAAGAACAAACTCACGGCCAGGAACATGCAGGTTACATTGACGATGATCAGATAAAGCGCTCAGGGAAGAACAGGACTAAATACACACAAGGGTAATCACAAGACAAGACACAGCTGGGACGGGGAGGTGAAACACAGGGGCAGCAGGTGGACACAATAAAACAGTCCACCATCGTTCCTGTCCCCAAAAATTCTAAAATCACCAGCCTCAACGTCTACCGCCCAGTCGCACCCACCTCCATCATCATGAAGTGCTTTGAGCGGTTAGTCAAAACCTTCATCACCTCTCTGGACCCCCTGCAGTTTGCCTACAGAACAGGTCCACAGACGACATAGCCCTCACCATCCACACTGCCCTCTCACACCTGGACCAGAGGAACACATATGTGAGAATGTTGTTCATTGATTACAGTTCAGCCTTCAATACCATTGTGCCCTCCAAGCTGGTCATCAAGCTCAGAGACCTCTGGCTCAACAGCGCCCTCTGTGACTGGATCTTGAACTTCCTGACGGGCAGACCCCAGGCAGTGCGGGTGGGAAACATCACATCCTCCACCCTGATCCTCAACACCGGAGCCTCTCAAGGCTGCGTGCTCAGCCCTCTCCTCTACTCCCTGTTCACTCACGACTGCGTGGCCACACACAGCTCCAACACCATTGTGGAGTTTGCTGACGACACGACGGTCATCGGCCAGATCACAGACGGCAACGAGACGGCGTACAGAGAGGAGGTCGAAAACCTGACATCTTGGTGCCAGGATAACAACCTCCAACTCAACGTCAGAAAAACCAAGGAGCTGATTGTGGATTACAGGAAGCAGCAGAGAGAGGGACACGCCCCCATCACCATCAATGGGACTACGGTGGAGAGTCAGCGGCTTCAGGTTCCTCAGTGTCCACATCACTGAGGACCTGACATGGACTCTTCACACCACCACTATCACCAAAACAGCTCGACACCGGCTCTTCTTCCTCCGCAGGCTAAGGAGGTTCAACATGGACTCCAGGGTACTCTGCAACTTCTACAGGTGCACCATAGAGAGCATCCTGACCTTCTACAGGTGCACCATAGAGAGCATCCTCCTGACCTTCTACAGGTGCACCATAGAGAGCATCCTGACTGGCTCCATCACGGCCTGGTACGGCAGCTGCACCGCCCTCAATCGTAAGGCTTTACAGAGGGTGGTGAAAACTGCACAGCACAAATTTATTTAGTATTTACTTGCACTATTCTATCTGTTTTATTGTGTTGCACTATTGGAGGAGCCTGGGACCTAAGATTTTCATCTACATAACTACACTGTAGCTATGTACGAATGACAATAAAAGCCTTGAATCCTTGAAAAAAAAAGGAGGGAAACTAAAGACATGAAGGCGAACACAGGAAGTAGGACCAGACAGAACACGAGGAGGAAAACATTTCAAAATAAAGGTGGAAAATGGCAACATAAACCCAAAACCATGACACAGAGAGCATGGAGGTAGTCAATTGTGTTGACGACTACCTCCATGCATATGTCTCACCTGGTACATCCCATTATGTGCATTTTGTGCTGTGTTGTGTTATTTGTAACAGGAGCAATTTTGGGTTGGAAAATGTTCCTTGCCATAACATCCCATTTTATAGTTTAATAGTGGTATGGAGAAGATCCATCATGTCCTCTCTGCCAAACACAGCCACATACAGCATATCCTGTCTGGCCGTGAAACAAGGCTTTCCCGAGGCCAATATACTGGAGGCACTACCATGTACTTCGCCAATTGGCAATCATTCTGGAAAGAAGGAGAACTGCCTCCATTGCCTTCTCTCCACCATCATCTGGATTAGGGCTGCACGATATTGAAATAAATCGCGAGTTCCCCCCCCCTGCGGTATATATTGCGGTTTTTTAACCTGTTAAGCCCCAAAGTCCCGGCGGGTACTTTACTTTTTTTTTCACGACACTGTGTCTCAGGTGATCTTAATATTTAAGAACCTATTAATGTGTTATACCAGATTAACGGAAATAATCTTAGCTAACTGAGGATACAAACCATTTTTACCAAAACACAAGTCTCATAAGAAGCATCTAAATGACCCCTGAGCGAAAAATGCTAACGCACTTTGGCACAGAACTCAAGATAAAAGTACCCTTATTACTTATCGTAGCTGCACATACAAGATATCCGATTAAAGCTGAGGTTCCACAGATTATTTAGGTATATAGTATCATCACTGAGTGATCCGAACTCGGACAGGGAAAGCAAACACAGACATCACAACACGTACCTTTACGTAGCTTCTAGGGGAGATGTCTCACCGTAGCTGTCAATCTGATCAAAATACGTGTTCAATGGCATTAAAACGACAAAAAACGCGGCTGAATCGGTTAATCTATAGGTTTTTAACGTCTCTGTATAAGAAAATTATTTCATTTATAATCCATAATCCATTTTTATGTAAAAATTGCAGAGCAAAAGTTAGCTGCTAATGGTAGCCACCAGAGTGGCTGCTGCTTCCGGTCTTGGCAATGCGGCAGTCCACCAAATAAGGAGTGAGAGTGACGCGTAGCCAAAACCGGAAGCTGCATACACTCTGGTGGCTACCATTAGCAGCTAACTGTTGTGCTCCGATTTTTACATAAAAATGGAATTATGGATTATAAACAATTGCTTCAAAGCCACAGATACATTATCAACCTATGGATCAACCGATTCAGCCGCATTTTTTCTCGTTTTAATGCCATTGAACACGTCTTTTGATCAGATTGACAGCTACGGTGAGACGATCTCCCGTAAAAGCTCCGTAAAATGTACGTGTTGTGATGTCTGTGTTTGCTTCCCCTGTTGCGAGATCGGATCGCTTAGATACTATACTTAAATAATCTGTGGAGTCTCAGCTTTAATCGGATATATTGTATGTGCAGTTTCGATAAGTAATAAGGGTATCTTTATTTTTGAATTCTGTGCTAAAGTGCCCCCTGAATAGGTCCGCTGCTGAGGCTTTGTAGCCACATCTACCACAAGGGATGCTAAAAGGGCTGGGTAGAGAACAGACCCTCTGAGGCTGCAGACCGAGCAGCAACTGTCTCTGGGTAAAAATAAAAGGATCCCGACTGATCTGCAAGGTGATCAAGAGGAAAGGGTACGAGTGGAGGAGGGGGCCCACCTGATGAATGAAGTGTTTACCTACATCCACTCACAACATCAAGAAAGTGCCAATTACAAAAAGGGATGTACAATTGAGTCCTATGAGCTCAACTTATCATTGTGCTCTTTACATTAGGGCTGGTATGCCTCTGTTAGTCATTACTACTTATTGTAAAGCCTTTATGGATAGACTGCCATTACACATTTGCACAACGTATTTATTTTTGGTTATTATTGCTATAACTTCTTATACCGTTATCCTGGCCAGGTCGCCCTTGTAAAAGAGGTTGTTGATCACAATGTGTCGTACCCCTTTAAATATGGGTCAAATACAATAAAACAGTACATGTATGTGGCAGATGCTTTTGACGAAAGACACTATTTTAGAGAGAACAGTTGGAAAGTAGCTTTCTAGTTTGGCCACAAGATGGAGTGATAGCTCTTTGAATGGAAACAGGTAAGGAACCTGTGCCTGAACTGATAAAGAACTCATAACCAGCTCTTTGTTTCACTCATAAACTCACGCTGTTATAGACGCGACTGTGTAGGAAGAGAAAGGAATCTATATGTTTTTATCATAGAAACAGTAAGGGAGAATCTGAATCCTTGATGTGGCTGTTTTAACATGTTTCGTTCTGTCTTTGTTGCATTCAAAATAAGTTCCTGTTCCTTTAAGGGTTGTCTCCAAAATTCACCGTAGTGACGTTGCGTATATTCCATATTCAGAGAAGTCCAGTGGCGGAGCGTGGAATCTCCTCCTGCCAGAGCAGTCTCCTCCAGGTGCTGAGCCAACGCAGGTCAGATCCTTTCATCCTTACTCAAACTTACTGCTATATTCCAACAAACTATAATATCAAAAAAGTGTCGATAAGCGCTTTCTAAATGTCATTTTGAGGTATAAAAAAGTTTGTTATTGATGTGTTTTCTTCACTGAACGTGATGTTTGAGTAATTCTCAAAAGTATAGAATCTATATTTCTTTGCCATTTTTATTCCCATTAAATGTGTAATATAAATTGTAAAGTATTCATATGCTGGGATTTGTATTGGTTCATGAAAACTGACTCAAGGTTTTTAAAGTGGCTTTTTTGTTCAAAGTCACTGTGTGTTGCCGCTGAAAGCGACTTTCACACATGCTCCTATGTTCAGACCCGGCAGGAAGTGCATGTGCAGTGAACATCATCTCGTTCTCATCAGGCTAAATGTAGTGACAGGGTCGAGCAATCAACCGTGGGCTTTTACCCTCATTGCTTTTTTATAAACTTCTTTTTATGCCGTCCAACCAACAGGAACACAAGATGCAACCGCTGCTTCTATTTCTTCACATGCTTTGTAGAAATAGTAAGGGAGCCTTTTTAATAGTGGCAAGAAGATATTTTAGTATCAATTTGTGAAATACAAAGTTTGTATAGTTTAAAAGTCATATAGGTCTAGTTAGGAAAACACCATAAGAAGGAACTGTTTTAACCTAATTAAACTATCTTTTATTAAGTGGTGGAAAGTAACAAAGTACATTAACTCGAGTACAATATTGAGGTACTTGTAGTTGACCTGAACATTTTCTTGTGATGCCACTATATACTTCTACTCCACTAAAGTTTAGAAGCCAACATTGTAGTAAATCCATTATTAGATAAAGACTGACATATATTTAATAGTTACAATATCTAGCAGCTGTGAATAAAGTCATTAACATTGGCTCCACATTTACCAGCTGTGAGAGACACAATAATGCATCAATAATCATAGTCGAGTAATATAAAGTATAATATACATGATTCTGGAATGTACCTTTACTTGTAACAAAGTATTCTTGCAATTTGGTAATTTGGTACTAATCTGATGTTATTAACCAAATAGTGTCATTACTCCACAGAACCATCATGAACACAGAGAAGGACCCTGAGTTTACAGAGGGCAGCGGGATGGGTGAGTGCGTCTCCTTGTCTTCAGTGTGATGTGAACGTGATCAGGCTGCCACCGTCCAGCCATCACTGACTTTAACATTCCATTATTGTAACAGAGCTCTGTTGTTGACTGAAGTTGTCCCAATGAAACAAAAAGTAACACGAAGCGCCTGCATGTGTCACTCTGCAGAGGTTTGCAGTGATGTTGCAGATGTGAAGCCACAGGAGGAAGAAGAGAGGGAAGATCAGTCATTCAGTGAGAATGGAATGCAGGGTGCTGAAGGTGTGATGGATCCACGTAAGTAACCCCCAACCCACGCACACACACACACACACACACACACACACACACACACACACACACACACACACACACACACAATTAGAATGTTAGCCATCAAGCTAACACCGTCTAGCATCTTTGTGAGGAGCTGATATAAACCCTGAGAATAAATGCAATAAATGCTGCTGTTTGTTAAAGATAAATCTAGCAGAATAAATACAAAATGTTCCTGTTTTTGGTGCATTAATGGGCTATTCCTTTACAAAGAATTTCATTTGGCTTCAATTAAAAATGCAACAAAATCGTTTTAATCTAAGACAAATGCAATTCCTTATGATCAACTAGAGAGAGATTACACATTATGGACAGGATCTTAAAGTAAAAAGCATTTGTATGATCCAACCGGATAGACAGGAGAGGAGTCATTAAGCTCTCAGTTGCCCTAGTTATCCTGGGGTAAATGTAAATACTTTTACATTTTTACAATATACTTTTCACCATGGGGGTTCATTCAATGCAAAGCAATTAGAAAATGGCTCTATTCAACACTTTGAACACTATAAGTATGGAGTTACAGCAGTAAAAGAAGACCAGTGTCTATATAGGTAGCTTTACCTTAAATCATAAGTAGGCAATAGCTTAGGGCGCCAAGGGGCCTCTTTCAACTTTTTCAATTACTACAAACATTTTCTATTCCGTGTTCCTCAAAATAAATGATTAGCTGTGATATATAAAATATACATTTAACTACCTTGAATGTGCGCCTTTGCAATCAAATATATAAGTGTACAAAAAAAAATGTTTCACCCACATTTTTGGACTATTTCACTTTGAGAGCTTTCCATTACAAGGCTGTCAGCCGTACAGAGGGTTGTTTATTTCAGTTTGGCTGGGTACTTTATTGCATCTACTGTTGAACTTCCTCACTGCAGTGTCATGTATTTCATGATAAAGCATACATCCTAATTATATAATGTAATATGCTACATATTATGGGCATTTCTTCATATACATACCTCACACCATGAAGGACTACTTTTCAAAGATTCATTTCCAGATTGAAAGGCTTATTGTCATACGCATAGTAGCTACGGCACAATTGTTGGCAATGACATTTTTAAGTCCTAGGCTCCTCATACAATATTTAAGACATCAAAATGATTTAAAATTGTCAATGTATAAATTAAATAGTGCAAGAGAATGGTACAAGTAAAAAGCAGAGATAGATGCTATCTAAACATATGAATAAGATACAAAGGAAAACAGAGTTACTATTAAATACTCATTTCTAAACTGTGACCACTTTGTTTCACACAATGTTCTGAGTGTAATACGTTTATACCTAGACTTGTTGCTCTTATTTGTCCTTTTTATTTCTGCCACCTCTCTGCCCCACTGGGTGCTTCCTAAAGCCCTGCTGAACGTGGCTGCGCAGCCTGCGGTTCTCTGCTCTCAGACCCTGGACTCTATATCGGGCCCCCCCGAGCTCTGTGTGTGCAAAGTTTCCATAGCACCTCTGAGCGCTTTCCACAATACAAGGCGCTGATCTTCAGCTCATCACCAGCCACCACCGACCACACTGTGGTTTATGGATGGAGCTGCGAGAGCCAGCAACAGGCTGGGTGAGGGGTCATGCAGCCTGAGAGCAGCAGGGTGGGAGAAGTACTCAGGTCTTGTACTTGAGTGAAAGAAGAAGTACCAGAGTGTAGGAATACTCTGTTACAAGTAAAAGTCCTGCATTCAAAATGTTACTCAAGTGAAAGTAGAAAAGTATGATCATCAACATATAGTGAAAGTAGCGACAGTAAAAGTAGTCGTTGTGCAGATTATTCCATTTCAGAATAATATATATGAAATGTTTTATAATGATTGATCATGAAAGTGTTCTCAAAGCTGGTAAAGGTGCAGCTAGTTTGAATGACTTTGTATACTGCAGGGTAGCTGGTGGATTTACTCCAGGTGGAACTAAAGTCTGATTTAACACTTGATTAGATTTCACATCATTCATCCAGATCTGTAAAGTAACTGAAGTTATTAAATACATGTAGTGGAGTAGAGTACACCATTTACCTCTGAACTGTAGTGGGGTAGAAGTACAAAAAAATGGAAATACTAAGGTAAAGTACATTCATCTCAAAATTGTAGTACAGTACTTGAGTAAATGTACTTAGTTACCTCCCACCTCTGACCAACAGTAGGTCAAGAAACACTTATAAATAAAGAAAATGTAACGCTTTGCCTGCTGATGGAAGAAAAAAGGGATCAACTTTGGTGCGGATGAAGTTTGATTTGGAAGTTTTTCAGCATCTGTGATACAATCAATGTGAAATGTTGTTTCTAAAAGCAGATCAGGGATTGGTGTTGTCTGCGTGAGGCGCCTGCTGCTCTCTCTCCTGCCCTGGTTCTACTTTCTGTCTTCAGAGGAAATGCCTTCCCCTTATCTCGAGCACACATCTTCTGAATCTCTTTTGTGACACTATACGTCGGCCCAAATTAAGCTACCCACACTCTGGAGACGTGCTAGTGCTATTATCAACATATCGACTATTAATACAAATGTAGAAGTGGAGATGTGACAGCGGCAGTTTGCATTCGGGTTGGAGTTCAGAGCTCATTCAGTGCCTTATTTGGAAGTAAAAAACAAGTGTATGTACATGACTCCTTAAATCAATCACTTCATGTGTGTTTACTGTTTTCATCAAATGTCTACTCTTTGCTGCCTCCTCGCTTAGATGTGATTAAGACAGAGGCAGAGGAGATGGAAGATGAGGAGCAGTACCCCAACGATGAAAAGGAAAGACAGTTTGCGCTGAAAGAGGAAGCAGAGGGGGGCAGTGATGATGGGACGGAGGAAGGATTTGACGAGGAGAGGACTGAGGAGGACGAGGAGGACGAGGAGGATGAAGGGGATGCCCCTAACGAGCCCCAGGACCTGTCTCTGGTGGACTACTCGCGGTATGACGCCCACGCAGCAGAAGGGACCTACGTGCCTGGAGCTGTGGCCCCCCGCATCCCTGCAGCCGGCAAGCTCAACTGTGACATCTGTGGCCTGTCCTGCGTCAGCATCAACGTTCTGCTGGTGCACAAGCGCAGCCACACGGGTAAGCACAGGAACACAGCCCCAGCACCTGACCTCAAACACAACCGTTGTGCAATCGTCACCCTGTTGATAGCACTGGGAGATAGTGGCTGGCGTTGACTAGGTCAAGACGTTTGATGGAGGTTTTGAAGTCTGCATCACGCATGACGCACTGTCCTAACCAGGGCTGCAGCTGTAGGATGTGAGATATCCTCCCAATATGAAGCAATAAGGCAATAAGTGTGTGATTTGTGGACAGATACACCAACACATCTACAGTCTATAGCTTTGCCCTGAATTATGCAATCCCTGTTATAACTCAGATTACTTAATCAGGTTACAAAAAAAGGTGTCTGTATTCGATTACAATTACATTCAAAAATAAGTAAGCAGATTACTGTTACATTTCATTACTAGCAGGATTACAGTGTTACAATACATTTTGGAACTATAGATGGATTTATTATAGGTACTGAATGAATTTTCGTTATGGTTTATATTTAGGCTACTTTAATTCTTCTTTATTTTAAATACATTTCTTTTTTTAATGCAGTAGGTGGACACCTGATTTATTAAACAAAAATACAGTTTTCTTACATTTTCTGTCATGGTCAGCCGACTGTCCACCCTCATGTAGGAATATGTGTCACTGTGGAGAGATATGGAGTTATTGTCAGACACACGTCATGCACTCGACTCATCAGTCAAACGATGAGTCGAGTTGACTCGTTCAATAATGCCGCCGTCAGATGGATCTGAGGAGGTTTTCGATGAGTGCACGGCGTGGTTTGAGTCGTGAGAACATTGTTTCTGGGTTTCTAACAATCAAGGTAATGTTGCCTTGTTCCCTTTTCAAAGATGGTGAATGATTCTGCGTTTTTTTGCAATTCACTGTTATACTAGGAACAAGTAAAGGGTTGATAGCTAAAGGACAAAACTGCATTTCTACGAATATCAACATCTGGTATCAGAACATTTCCACTTGAGGGAAGTTGTAAACACCAGCTCAGTGTTTCTGCAGCAACAGATCATTTACAAGAAATCACTCACAAATATATGGAAACTGAAAAGAATAACAGAATAGCCAAAACAGGGGGCCGCAGTACTCCACATTTACAGCCTTTTGTTGTACTTGTATACAGTCCGTGCGTTGTCCACAGATCTCTGCTTTAGTCCTTAGACTGTAAGTCAGTCTTTCCATAGTATACATTTCTTCTAAACACTTTCTAACCAATCAAGTATATGATCTGGAATCAAGCCCAGGTACATAAACCTAGAGTCACAGGTACTCTTATAACTTAATATTTCTCCATGAATCTGAATAACCCTGAGCCAAAATGCCTGTACTTTTACAAAAGATCAGCAGATATCAAATCAAAGTTGCTTTATATACCCCAATATCACTAAACCCTTTGTCTCAGTGGGCTTTACAGAATACAAAACATAGTTGACAGTGTCAATTATAAAAAACATGATATAGGCTTTATTAAACAGGACAGGCACACTCTTAACATCGTGGACACTGTCTGCCTCCCTAATGAAAACAGGAAGTTGCTTCCAGAGAAAGGGAGCTTGGGATCTGAACACTCTGACTCCCGATCTAGTTTTGTGGAATCTGGGAACCACTAAAAGACTTGAAGATATGCGAGTGATTGCGATTCAACCGTCCACATCCTGGCAACATTGTCTCACTAAGCTAAAAGGTAGATGTTTTCATGATTTCTGGATTGTTTTTCAGAGTTCGTTTTCCCCCCTTCAGGTGAGAGGCCGTTCCACTGCAGTCAGTGCGGCGCCTCCTTCACGCAGAAGGGAAACCTGCTGCGCCACATCAAACTGCACTCCGGGGAGAAGCCTTTCAAATGCCCCATGTGCAGCTACGCCTGCCGCAGACGGGATGCTCTGAGCGGGCACCTGCGCACACATTCTGGTACCAGCCACACACACACACACACACACACACACTGCCAGCTGTGCTCATATGCACTGATACTGTATGCACCTGTGTATAATATTTCGCTGGTTCGTTTCTCACAAATGTTGACACATGAGCTGAGGCCGCATTGCTCTTCCAGTAATATGTGCCACAGGCTTACACACATTACATATGACATCTTACTCACTCACCTCAGGAAACATACTCACTCACTTTCAGTTCACGTGTTTCACCTGCAGACACGGTCTCTAATGTGCACATCATCACTTTTGTACGAAACCACATACTCAAGGAAATAATCCTCGCTGTAGGCAGTGTTTATGTTTCGTGTGTTGGTGATTAACTGAAACTCCCGCTCACAGTAGAGAAACCCTTCAAGTGCAACCACTGCAGTCGCAGCTACAAGCAGCGCAGCAGCCTCGAAGAACACCGGGAGAGATGCCATGTGTACATCCAGAGCAAAGGCCCCGCAGAGAGAGGTGAGCACACCCAGTGGTGTAAAGTTGTGTATCATTTTAAGAGACTTGTACTTTACTTGAGTATTTTCAATGTTTTGTTACTTTGTCCTTCTACCCCATTACAATTCAGAGGTAAATGGTGGTGGTACTTCTCCCACCTCTGAGCACTTCTGAGCACTATGGAACTCCAAACACTCACTTCACACATCTGACTGTTAGACTACTGCTTAGACTCATTTGCACATATGGAGCGCCCAATTTGAGCAGTTATTGCTAGCAGATCCTGTTTTTATAGCCTCATTAAATAAATGAGCTTACGGCTGTTACCCCATCATTAAACTAAATAGGTTATGGCTGCTGTGGTGTGGTGTGACGGCCGCTTCAAATGTGTGCAGCGGCTAAATATGTAGGGCAAATGTGTTCAGCCCGGCCACCCAACACACGCACATGTCTGTAACCTTCCCCTAAAAGACCTGTACCTAGGGCAGGACAGTTGCACGGTTGCAACACACAGACGATGCTCTGCTGCTGTGGTCGCCAAATGTCGTAAGCTTATGTCTGATAGTACCGTCGTGGTTAGGAAGTACATCCTCATCCTGTGGTCTGTTTTCCTGCGCTGGTGAAGTAAAAAAAAACCACCAGGAAGTGAGGTCAAAGGAGCGTCTGATCTTAAATGAATATCTCCTTCCTCCTAGTGTGACTCAGCGTGGTGCCGCTGCCGTCTTTCTACTTCACTTTATTACCTCTAAAGCTTGGTGGACAGTTGCCGCTCGGTGCACTTCTCTTCTGATCGAGAAGAGGTCTGGTTTTCCTCGTTGCACTTACTCTGTCCCTCTATTGCAGAGGACGGCCACACATCCAGGACTCAGATGGGCAGCGAGCGGGCTTTGCTGCTCGACAGGCTGGCCAGCAACGTAGCCAAACGGAAGAGCTCCATGCCACAGAAGTTCACCGGTAAGAGCAGCTGGAAAGCTTTGGAACATGAAAACGATACGTAACTGTTGTCTATGCTGCTGTCTTTGTGTTATGTTTACATCATGTGTGCTTTTTGCTGTGCATTAACGCTTAAATACAGAATTCCATTTTTGCAAATGATTGTAAGTCATGTCTAAGCTAGTTGTTTGTCTGTCTCTGCTGGCCTCCATCTCTTGCCAAACAGGAATTGAGGGCAAAGCCTCATACCTGCACACACCGCAGAGTCTCCACTGTCCTCAATTCTCTGCCAGAAATGTGTCGTAGGTGGGTATAAGTTGCCATGCATGGTTTAATCATTGGATACGTATACTGAGAAACATGCACTTTACAATTCCCCATTCACACTTTGTATGTTTGGATTTAAACTCAGTGAATAAAAGACACCAGTTTCAGTAAATGGCTGACTTAAGGGGCATGCACACACACAACTGTTTCAATAGTTGTTTCTCACCTCCTAACATTGGGTTGTAGTTTCGCAATCAAGCCTCAAGCAGCTCGCAAAACGAGTGTATTGGCAAAGAAAAACCTCCGACATGTCTCTATCGGGTTGACAAATGAAGTGAGATCTTTCAATATGACAACCACAGGGGGAAAAGAGAAATGTCTGCAACCGCAGAGAGAGAGAGAGAAACGTGAGCAGGTGCCTCTCTGTAAGTCTGCAACCACAGAGAGAGAGAGAGAGATAGCTATCGATCTCGATAGAGAGAGAGAGAGAGAGAGAGAGAGAGAGAGAGAAGAGAGAGAGAGAGAGAGAGAGAGAGAGAGAGAGAGAGAGAGAGAGAGACAGGCAGAGGGCGAGAAACGTGAGCAGGTGCCTCTCTGTCTGTTCTTCTGTGGTGCAGCTGCACTGCAGGGCTTCCTCCGTCTGCTCCCCCTCTCAGCCTCTGTCCTCTCTGTCCTCTCTGTCCTCTCAGCCTCTGTCCTCTCTGTCCTCTCTGTCCTCTCTGTGCTCTCTGTCCTCTCTGTCCTCTCTGTGCTCTCTGTCCTCTCAGCCTCTGTCCTCTCTGTCCTCTCAGCCTCTGTCCTCTCAGCCTCTGTCCTCTCTGTCCTCTCTGTCCTCTGTCCTCTCCGCCTCTGTCCTCTCTGTCCTCTCTGTGCTCTCTGTCCTCTCAGCCTCTGTCCTCTCTGTCCTCTCTGTCCTCTCAGCCTCTGTCCTCTCAGCCTCTGTCCTCTCAGCCTCTGTCCTCTCTGTCCTCTCAGCCTGTCCTCTCAGCCTCTGTCCTCTCAGCCTCTGTCCTCTCTGTCCTCTCAGCCTCTGTCCTCTCAGCCTCTGTCCTCTCAGCCTCTGTCCTCTCTGTCCTCTCTGTCCTCTCAGCCTCTGTCCTCTCAGCCTGTCCTCTCAGCCTCTGTCCTCTCAGCCTGTCCTCTCTGTCCTCTTAGCCTCTGTCCTCTCAGCCTCTGTCCTCTCTGTCCTCTCAGCCTCTGTCCTCTCTGTCCTCTCTGTCCTCTCTGTCCTCTCCGCCTCTGTCCTCTCAGCCTCTGTCCTCTCAGCCTCTGTCCTCTCTGTCCTCTCAGCCTCTGTCCTCTCTGTCCTCTCTGTCCTCTCTGTCCTCTCCGCCTCTGTCCTCTCTGTCCTCTCAGCCTCTGTCCTCTCAGCCTCTGTCCTCCTCTCGCCTCTGTCCCTCAGCCTCTGTCCTCAGCTCTGTCCTCTCTCCGCCCTCTGTCCTCTCTGTCCTCTCAGCCTCTGTCCTCTCAGCCTCTGTCCTCTCAGCCTCTGTCCTCTCTGTCCTCTCAGCCTCTGTCCTCTCAGCCTCTGTCCTCTCAGCCTCTGTCCTCTCAGCCTCTGTCCTCTCTGTCCTCTCAGCCTCTGTCCTCTCACCTCTGTCCTCTCAGCCTCTGTCCTCTCGGTCCTCTCTGTCCTCTCTGTCCTCTCTGCCTCTGTCCTCTGCCTCTGTCCTCTGCCTCTGTCCTCTGCCTCTGTCCTCTCTGCCTCTTCCTCTCAGCATCTCTGTCCTCTCAGCCTCTGTCTCTCGCCTCTGTCCTCTCAGCCCTCTGTCCTCTCAGCCTCTGTCCCTCTCAGCCTCTGTCCTCATCCTCTGGTCCTCCACCTCTGTCCTCTCAGCCTCTGTCCTCTCAGCCTCTGTCCTCTCAGCCTCTGTCCTCTCAGCCTCTGTCCTCTCAGCCTCTGTCCTCTCAGCTTCACCTCACTGTCCCTTATGTTGACCTTTGGACTGCATGATGTTCTCTTTGCCTTTACTCAGATCCAGAGTGAGGACCTGTGTTAGATATGTCTGTAAGTGATACGTCTTTAAAGTGCTGCTTGCTTCCTGTGGTATGTCTCTGCTCATGCTGTGGGGTGAGGAGTGTGAAAGACCGGCTGAGTCTTCAGGCAAGTCAAATAACCAATGAGATCTAAATGCTGTCTCTCACCGTCCCAAAGAATACTAATATATACAAAAATATACATATATGTATATATATACATGCATACACATCTAAACAACCATATATATGTATATATATATATATATATACCTATACAGATAGACACATATATATAGAAAAATTAAGAGATATAAAAAAAAAAAGGCTCAACAGTAAATATATGAAAGTATTTGTCTCCACACTGATTTGGACAGGACACAGTGAATATATGACAACAGTACAAATATATAGTGAAGTGCTGTAGTTCTGTAGTGCTGTAGTTCTGTAGTGCTGTAGTGCTGTAGTGCTGTAGTTCTGTAGTGCTGTAGTTCTGTAGTGCTGTAGTTCTGTAGTGCTGTAGTTCTGTAGTTCTGTAGTGCTGTAGTTCTGTAGTGCTGTAGTGCTGTAGTTCTGTAGTTCTGTAGTGCTGTAGTTCTGTAGTGCTGTAGTTCCTGTAGTGCTGTAGTTCTGTAGTGCTGTAGTGCTGTAGTTCTGTAGTGCTGTAGTTCTGTAGTGCTGTAGTTCTGTAGTTCTGTAGTGCTGTAGTTCTGTAGTTCTGTAGTGCTGTAGTTCTGTAGTGCTGTAGTTCTGTAGTGCCAATGAGCCCTTTGTTCTGCCAGGTCTAGGGCGACAAGCGGTGTGTGTCTGGACCTGAGCTTTAACAGGGAGCTGGTCTACAGGACTGAGGCCAAGGAGCCCCCCCCAGGCTCCCCGGGGCCCGACCCCCACCATCAGCAACAAGCCGTCCTCACAGGGCCAGAGAACAACCTGGCTCCCTCCCGCAGACCTTACCCCATCCAGCTGAGCCCCATGGGCCTCACTAACGGCCACAAGATGGGCATGCCTCTGATGGCCCCCCCCCCCACCTCCCAGCACCAGGTGGGCATGGACTCGTTCCAAAGCGACGGCTCCCAGATGCACCAGCCTGTCATGTACAACCTGGGTCACCTGCTGGGGGGGCTGAGCCATCAGAACGGCCTCCCACACGCACAACCCCTCCCCCTGTCGCCGCTGGAGGCCTTACGGGTGGTGCGAGGGGACGGGGAGGGGGGTGCGTTGCCCGGGGCGGTGTACCCCTGCGGCCACTGCAGGGTGATCTTCCTGGACTACGTCATGTTCACCATCCACATGGGCTGCCACGGCTTCAGGGACCCGCTGGAGTGCAACGTGTGTGGCCACCGCAGCCGGGACCGTTACGAGTTCTCCTCCCACATAGCCCGCGGGGAGCACCGCCTCGAACTCAAGTAGCTGTTCATGTCCACAAACGCTTACAACACACACACGCTCTGACAGATAACCATGTACTAAGCACAACCCAGATTTACTCATATTAGTAGCTGGTAGTATGAGGAATGAAAGCATGACGTAGCATCTCTCTGTCTCTCGGTGTGAGACAGATTGAGAGAGACGTTATAGGTTTGTAACGGGTGTCAGAATTTCCTTTGTCCTACCGTACTCATCTGAAAAGATGATCTGTAAATGTTTACGTAGGAGGAATTCTAACCATACATTTTTATATATTTGTACTTATTGATTCCTGCTGTAGCCATATATACATTTAACAAAGTAGCAAAAAAGAATGCATTTATTGTTTATCTGCTGTTGTTTTCTCCTGTTATTTGTGTTAAGGTGTAAAGCAATAAAAGATAACCTCTCTTTCCCTTCATCAAACAGAGACCTGCGACTTGCTGAGAGACGTTCTTTTTTTAACACTTGTCAATTCAAGACTGCAGAAGAGAAAAAAAGTGCTATTATCTCGAAGGTCACATGTCTCCTTCAGGCTGTGGTTTAGAGTGCAGTTCACGGCTTCAAAGACATCACTACGCTTTGCATGTGTTGGTTTTCACTCCTGAATATCTTACACTCCCACAGGTTAGAGAGGCCTCACAGCTCTGCAGAGATGTTTTTGTCACACGACATAGAGGTGTATACATATATAGGACTTAGCACAAATACATGTATCTGAGAAGGTACTTCTGTCCTTCTTAGATAGATGGTGATAAATGAATGAATGAATGTCGAGGCAGGTCCAAAATAAATGTGACATGCTGTTGAACAACTTATAATTCATCTGAATGCATATTGAAACTGTTCTTCTTATATAAAAATGTATATCTTTATTATCTTATATGAAATCAGGAACAAAGAAGATGAGCCTTTACAGTATCTAAAACTGGCAATGAACCTAAAACTAACAAATAAGAGAAAAATATTGAATGACTTTTTGATGGGACTTTCTCCTAATTTCATGACAGGATTTAACACTTTTCCCTGATGCTGAGGAAATGAATGTGTGGGTCATATGAAACACCAGCGGACACCTGCTGGGGGAAGTTTGGTACTGCATGGCAGTGATGGTCTTACACAGTATCACTCCAGAGCAGTAGGGTCCTAAAAATGGTTTTCTCGGACCCAGTGGAGGGCCTTAGAAAGGCAGAAGGGGGACCCAGACTAAATCATAAATAGCTTGATATATATATTATATTTTAACTAAAAGAAACTCAGAGAAAATGTTTCGAAAATCAGTCAATTCAGCCACAAAATACATGGTAATGCCAGTAAATTCAACACATGGGAATTTACATGTATGTAACGACAACATTTTAACAAGTCACAGTCAAATTGAATTTTTGAACTGAGTGTCCTGTTGGAAAAGTGTAACAGGGTCGAGCCTCCCCACTCAGTGGCTGCAGTGGGCTGTGTGTGTCATGAGAGTGTGGATGTTCTTCGCCCACATTTCAGGGACTTGTCACGCTGAGCTGCCCTCAGAGCAGAACAGGGGTGTTAGCTTGATCCAGCTGCCACCACACCGTCGCTATCTGGTCCCCTCCATCAGTGCCAGTTCCCTTTTTTTTTCTCTTTGGGTTTGAAGAGAAGTGACCCTTCTGAAGCAAACTGTCATCGCAGCTTCATGTCCCTACGCTAGATTAACAGCCTAGTCAATCCGTTTCACAAGAACATTCGGACTGCTTCTCTTTTTCCATTCTAAGGTTCAGGGTTACTTTCTTCTGAGTAATAGTAGTGAGTTGAGTAAGAGTGCGGACGTTTAAGCTTTTGTAGGAGGGATAAACCTTACCTCTGAACATAAAGAAACCATATAGGAAATATGACTATCATTGAAAGCCATATTTCTACCCAGACTGATTCCCACCATAAACCGTCCTGCGTAACAGATTTAACTTCAACCAGGCGAAGCTGGAGTCATAAAGCAACAATGACGGAAGTCCAGTCAAAATCAGAGACTTCTGGTGACATCTGCTGACTGAATTATATACATGGTAACCACACTGATGTATTTACTGGACAACAATAGCACACCATTACACTGACTTTGAGTGAGAGCAACCAATGAATCAAATAATGTTAAGGTCCTTGAAAAACATTAATCAGGCTGGACAAGTGCAATGTGATTGTAAAATCAATTTGATTTGTTTTGTAATTAATTATTTATTAATTATTTAGTAATTACCCACACATAGCCACACCAACCATTTGCTATAGATTGACAATAATAAATGAATAAAAAACAAAGGAAATCTGGCCACACAAAATTAGCTTCAAGTGCAGGAAAACCAATTAACAGTATGTGGGGACAACTCAAAAATAAACAAAGGGGGTCCTGTATTCATATTTTGGTGGATTATTAGAATTTATTTATAAATATGTAATTCTTGTTGGGCTCCTTGGGTTTATGTACGTCACAAAGTTACACCAAATGTTATAAAAGTTTCATTCTGTAATTATTCGTCCTTGAATATCTATTTGTTTTGAATTATTTTGGCTGTTGTTAAACATAATTTACAGATAGACAAAGAATAAAAGACAAATGCAGACAGCATACATCATTATAAAGTATAATGAAATGTTAAAAAGCATTATCATTCGCAGAGAATCATTTTCATTTGAGGTCAAGACATGGATGGTGAAATAGCTTGCAATTGTTGTCCGGTGTAAAACCTGAAGATGGCGCTGTTGAAACAGAAGTGATGGAGAAGCAAGAGTTCAAACCAGCGGTTTTGACTGATGGATCCACATGTTTTACTAATCTAATTCATGAAACCATTTCACAAATGAGTGGCTTTAAGATACATTGTCACATAGATTACAATTCAAAACATAACGTTAGAGTCTTAAAACATGAATTGAAAAACAGGTTCGTGTTAAAAAATAACAATAACTTGCTACCT